GAGCCCAAAACGTGTAATTCAATGATCAGTTGGAGACAATATCCAACTTAGTGAATCACTCGGGTTGAGTTACAAACTGGGCATTATTTGTAGTTAATATATTCTCACCTTTTTTATCCAGAAAAATTCTCTCACTCAACCCACGCTCCTTATTCACTTAAACAGCTAAATATTTTCTGATAAAATGCTGAATTTTCACATTCTCCAAATATCTGACATCATAAACCAATGTGACCTATTTGAACTTGTCTACCTAAAGTATTGTATTGCACACCTGCCCTTGTTGTGCATTGTTGCAGCTTGAAACACTGCACACCCTGGGATTTTGGCAATTGTGTGCTGGGGGCTAGTTACACTCTCAGAGCCTGCAAGGGGAAGCTTGTGTATGCCCTTCCTCACTCCCACATTGAATTTAGCCCTCCCTGCCTTCCTGCTGCAGTGCCGTACTAAGGCGGAGGTGGAGGGGGGTGGTCCACCCCAGGTGGCACTTACTAGGGGGTCTCTGTATGGCTGCCCAGTGAAGAGTGGCCCAGGAGTCTCCACACACTGCATACACACTACACACCCACAGCATTCACTATACACACACACACACACTGCATACACTATACACACTATACATACACACTGCATATACACTACACATACACTGCATACACTATACACACACTGCATACTGTACACAAACACACACTGCATACAATAAACACACACACTTATACCTGTGTATCTGTATGTGTCAGTGTATCTGTATGTGTGTCTGTGCACATGTGTCTCTGTACATGTGTGTCGGTGTTTGTCTGTATCCGTGCATGACTGTGTTTCTATGTATCTGCATGTGTATACCTATGTGTCTGTGTATCTGTAAGTGCCAGTGTGTGCATCTCTGTGTCTATGTATCTGCATGTGTGCCAGTGTGTGTATATTTGCGTATATTTGTGTATATGTGCATATATCTCAGTCAGTGTTTTTTTACATTTAAAAATTTGGGGGTGGAGGGCTGACAAATAGAAAAAAAAAAAAAGATCCGCCCCGAGAGCCAAATGCTCCAGGTACGCCCCTGCTCTGCTGCTATATTTTTTTAAGCCCGCCCTCCATCCTCCTTCATTCAGTCCCTCCTTTCTCGGACTTAGAGCGTGTGCATGCATTTTGAATCTGTTGAATCATGCAATCAAAGACGTCTCTACTTTCTGGCAATCTTTGATTGGACCTCGTCACCTGTGACATCACAGGAGGCTGCACTGAGCAGTGCCGGGAGTTTCAATGTACCTGAAAGGTACAACATTTATAAACCGATCACGAGAAGGGAACCTGGATAAAATAGGATCATTAACTGAGAATTCTGTTGCAGAAAGGATCCATCTGGCTGGTCAGACCAGCCCTGGTATTACTGAATTTAAAATTTGCAGACTCCTTCCTTGAACAGATTTTTAATTTTATGTTAATGTTCATGTAGTTTTGGTTGTTGTTTGCACTGACATTGCCTTCTCATTTCAGAGATGGAGAAATCTACAATCATAGAAAATGGAGAGATCAGAATTAACGGCAAAGGAAAGAAAGTCAGAAAGCCTCGAACAATATACTCCAGTCTACAGCTGCAAGCGTTAAACCAGAGGTTCCAGCAAACGCAGTATCTGGCACTTCCGGAAAGAGCGGAATTAGCTGCCCAGCTCGGCTTAACACAGACTCAGGTGAGATGCAGAGGATTATGGGTAAATCTTGTTCTACGCAAGTAATATATGTATTTCTAAGGTTATCAGCATGCCTGCCTGCAGGTTTATCAGTGTTTGTGTGCGTGTGTGCATGTGTCTGTGCATGTGTGTGTTTTACATGCATGCACTCCTAAATTGGACAGCTTAGTCGTGCATGTGTTAAGCAAGTACAGAATTCTACACATTTGAAACTATCAGAATTATTGGCTAAAGTGAGTTCAATGTGAACGCAAAATTAATTTAAAGGGCCACTATTGTCACCCAGACCACTTCAGCTCAATAAAATGGTCTGTGTGCCAGGTCCCCCCGGTTTTAACCCTGCAGCTGCAAACATAGCAGTTTCATAGAAACTGCTATGTGTACATTGCAGGGTTAATCCAGCCTCTAGTGACTGTCTTCCTAACCGCCGCTAGAGGTGCTTCCGCGACGCTCAATGTGAAAATCGCAGTGAGCATGCAGAACGTCCATGGGAAAGCATTGAGTAATGCTTTCCTATGGGCAGTTTGAATGTGCGCAGCTCTGGCTGCGCATGCACATTCAGCTCCACTCGGGAGCTGACGTCAGAGGGGGAGGAGAGGTCGCCAGCACCAAGGGAACCCGGTGCTGGATAAAGGTAAGTAACTGAAGGGGTTTTAACCCCTTCAGCCCAGTGGTAGGGGGACCCTGACGGTGGGGGGGACCTAAGGACTATATAGTGCCAGGTAAACAAATTTGTTTTCCTGGCACTATAGTGGTCCTTTAACGTTTTAGGACAAAATTGACAAATTGAGAGCCTCTTTTCCAGACCGCTGTCCCCTCCTTGTGCCTTGGCCTGTCTATACCGCCATGACACCTCCCAATGTTGGAGGAACGCTGTTGTATTTGTGTAACGAATATTCTCTTAGTGATGTCCATTCAGTAAAGCGAAGCAGGTAGTCACTGACTATAGTTGTGGAATGCAGAAGCATTTGGCTAGATAACTTGTGTGTCAGGATAAATAACGATTGCCATCTATTTACACAGCATATAACATCCAGTTTAATCAGAAACCAATTTGACAGTTAATTGTTTTATGAACATTTTATACTTTCGAAATGTTACACCCTCCCTCTAAAAACCCCAAAAACTACCATTTTACATAATCGTGCAACCGAGAGAATTAGACTTTTATCTGAATGGAAAACAAATTCTGTACTTCGAGCTATTTTAAGCCCATACAGGTGAATTCTAAGCAACATAACTACTATAGCGCATTGACCTGCTCCCATCACTCTCAGCCAATCATTGACGTCCAGGTTGGACTGAGCTGACAATGATAATACAGAACTGAAGTGTTAATTTTGCATTATCAATCTGGTCAAAATGGGGTGACCATTGAAGAACCCTGGTTTATATCAATCCATTCTTAAAGAAAGGGGGCTTAAAACAACCAGGTGACTTTGAGCTGCTGTTGCTCAGTAAGCAGTAGGTTGCATACTAGCATGGGGTCTATTGGTGGCAACTTGTGATGACATCATTCAATAGTATTGGTTCATAAAAGGGCTGTCTAAGCAACGTAACCGCTGCAGATCCCTGTAATGGTACTGCATAAAGTTTAGACTGATTGTCAGTTCTATATTGTTTGTGAACGGTGCTCTTTGTAGGAGCTCCAATGTGTTTTATCAGAATTCTTGTATTTGGGCAACTCAATCTGCTCCTTCACCTGTACCTTCTAACACCTTTTTCTTTGGGGGTCGGTGGGAGTCTAAATTATTGGAGATGTGGAACAATGGCTTCCCCTCTCCTGCCCCATTTTCTGTGTAAGATGTGGTCTTTTAATGGGTCTCCGGGACCCTCTATGATCCAGACATATCCTAAGCAGTTGTCTTTTTAAAGCCCACTTGATGCATAGTAATATAGTGGTTATCGAAGTCCTCATTGGGGAACCAAGGTGCCAAGGTGCAAGTAAAGGAGTAAGTGGTCTTTTTTGTAAATCCTCTTTTTCCACTTAGCATGCGCCATGCCAATTATTAGTGAGTTTGCCAATCCCTCTTATTAACTGACAATGCCCCGGAAAATGTGCTCCATTTGGTCTGTGCCAGGTATATGCCCAGTCTTCCTGACAAACAAAAATGTCTGCATCACACGTTTCAGTACAAAACAAGCAAACACTATTTTATTACTGTTTAATACAAACCGCATGCCTTCCAGGCCTTACTCCATAGGAATTATGGATAGTATTCATTATATGACCAATATAAACAAATTAAACTATTCCTGTTTTAAATTGACACAATGAGCATTTATCATAGAAGAGATTTTTGCCTTATTAAGAATGTAACCACTTCACAGTGAGCTGTGGCGGTTGTACGCCTTATTTCAACATTTACGCCAAAGTTGGAGAAATATCTTATTTTGGAGAGTTTTTTTTAAGCGTGTGGATATTTCGACTTAAAATTTGTAAATACATTTTTCGTCTCACCACAGTTTACTGTTTAGCAGTGAATTTCTTTGTGTGTAGGTAGTGGTTACTGTGTGGTGCGAACCAATGCAATCATAATTACATTTTCCCGATTTCCCCCCAATTAAAACCAAGAGACATAAGTGTGGTATAAAACAGGCCACAGCTTTATTTATAATAACAAGCATAAATAAATCAACCAATAATTTACTCGAGAACTTGTCCTTGCCAACCGACCCATAATAACTCTAGAGTACCCCCTTCCAGGGTACCTGCCCTCCCCCCTCGTCCAAGATAACTGGCCTTTTACCTTGGCCTTCCAATACCCCATGCCAACCCCTGGCCGCCTTTTACTGGCATGGGGGGCACGCCCAATTACCACAACTCTCCGAGGTTAGGGGAGGGACCAGACCCAGCATTCCTTCTTCCAGTGTACTCGTTTTCCAACTGGTTTGGCAAGGACCATACCCG